AAGCTCTAGCACAGAGCTTGAACCAGAGTTGCGTTGGTGTGAATGAGGTAAAAGTGACAAGGCAGTTTTTTGAACTTGACATTTTAAATAAATTGCAATTTACGTATAAAATTTTTTTTTATTTATTTTTTATTTAGTACCATTGCAAAGACAATCTCTATTTATTCAACATATATAATGAATGTGGGTATTAGGTCAACGTCATGTATTTTGGTGTCTGCAAAAGTAAGTGACAGTAGGCTACTTCCACCTTTTCTGTAGAATGACCCGGCTAACACAATTCCACCACTGACCCAAATGGAACACAGAAGACACCTTTAATATAATCAAATCCATAGGATTAATTATAATCAAACATAGTGTACACACATCCATCCTGGCCAGAGGCCTCTCTCTCCTGCTGCTGAACTGGAGCTTTTAACCTCTTCCTTCTCCAGCTGCACTTCATCTGAACCTCGTTGCAGCAACGCAGCACACCTGGGCAGAGGAACTAGAGGGAAAAACGAACAGGGAACACATACAGCCGTAACATGTGAATAATCTAAACTCAAGATCCTTACATTTTAATGTAGGCTATGTGGAATTTTTCCCAATGCCAGTACAAAGATAGCTTAATACAGACATCTCAATCAATTAGAATATTGTGGAAGGGTTGATTCATTTCAGTATTTCTATTTAAAAACTCATATATTATATAGATTCATTTCACAAAAAGTGAATTATTTCGAGTGTTTATTTGTTTAGATCTTGATAATTTCGGCTCACAGGTAATGAAAACCCACATTTCAGTTTCTCAGAATTTTTTTATAATACATGACCAATAGAAACATGTATGTTAAATACAAAAATGTCGGCCTCCTCAAAAGTATGTTAATGTTTCTGCTCTCAGTACTTGGTTGGGCCTCGTTTTGAACAAATGACTGCATCAATGGGCGTGGCGTGGAGGCAACCAACCCGTGGTCCTGCTGAGGTGTGATGGGGCCCAGGGTGCTTCCATAGCGGCCTTCAGCTCGTCTGCATTGTTAGGTCTTGTGTCTCTCATCTTCCTTTGACAATAGGTTAGGCTGGCCAATCAAGCACAGTTATTCCATGGTCATTCAACAAGGTCTTGGTACTTTTGGCAGTGTGTGGGCAGATGCCAAGTCCTGCTTGAGAATGAAATCAGCATCTCCATAAAGCTTTTCAGAAGAAGAAAAAGTGAAGTGCTCTAAAATGTCCTGGTAGACGGCTGAGTTAACTTTGGACCAATTTGTTCAATATTCGAATTATCTGAGATATTGAATTGTGGCTTTCCTTAGCTGTAAGCCGTAATCATCAAGATAACCACTTGAAATAATCAACTTTGTTTGAAATGAATCTATATAATATAGGCTTACGAGTTTCACTTTTTAAATATAATTACTTAAATGAATAAACTTTTCCACAATATTCAAATCTATTGAGATGTATCTGTATATCTTGATGTCTTTAAAAGAAAGAAAGATATTCTTAAGCAGTTCCTTTTCTTAGCCTGAGACAAATAGTTTCTCTGGGTAATCCACATTAACCACAGTGATATTCAATATCCTGCATTTTCACTTGACTTGGAACCAGACAAATCTGTATCTGTTTTGAAAAAAGGAACCTCACATTTTTTATCAATATTGAAGTTTTATCCATACGTTTGTAAGACCTTTTTAAAATGTAAATGTTTCCACATATATTTTCCACATAATATGTACATTATTTTCTGTAGGCCTACTGATACTGTTCTCAATAAATTAAAAAGTGAATTATGCCTTATATTTGGACAATCCGCATCTACAGAAGATGTGACGCAGAAAAGCTTGAAGACCAATCTGATAGGCTGAACGTAAACGGAAATCTGCACGCAGGCTTTCTAATCGATATCAGTAGGAATGGCACAACATATTTCCAGAAATATACAAAACATTTTGAAGTGTGCCAGTCATGTTACCTTCTGCTCTCTAATTGATAGTCACTCTCGTTGTCAGTTGCCGAATTAATGGTAGAATAGTGATATGCCATGTTGAATTACGCTGGGCTCTGTGCTCGATTACCTTTGCCTATTCAAATATGGCGCAGTAAAAGCCAAGGTTTGTTTTTCATGGGTGCAAAGTATGTTTAAGTGCATTAACCGAACCGCCCAGTTTAAGAGATACATCCACTCAGCAGGCAGCAGTTTCTCTATCAAGCTCAATTTTAGGTAAGTGTTGTAAAGCACATTTCTAAACCTTTTGTTAAAAAATACATAATTTATTTGAACACCAAACCTTCCGTTTAGGCTAGCTAGCTACTGAAACTAAAGCCGGGTTGTTGACCTGAATCTGTTAGCTTTGTTGCTACTTAGGGAGGTGGATAAAAACGGGTAGTCTGCCTAGCTTCTGCATTATAAATGAACTCTAATACGTTGTACAACGGCTGGGAATTACATATAACCATAACATTAGCAATACGAACAAGGTCACTTTTTTAGAGTTCGTGTTGCTGAGTTCGCAAGCTAACACTAGCTTGTATTATGTGAGGGGATTATTGTATACTCTCTAGCGAGTACCGGTTGCTAATCTCTGCTGTACTGTGTGCGAAGTAGCTGTATTTAAGTCTATAATCAACCACTTTAAATTAAATTGTGAATCATGAAATATCTTTAACAGCTGTTTTTGTCTAACTGTATTTGGTGGAAGAAGTACTCAGATGATTAATTTAGGTAAATGAGGCAATACTGCAGTGTAGAAATGCTGTTTCAAGTAGTCAAAGTAAATGTAATGGTCAATTTCTCTGTGTGTAATTCAAACAGCGGATCCAATTCTCACCGTCCCAAAGAATACAAATACATAAATATATATGTATATGTGTATATATACATACACACCTGGAAACACACTCACACATACATACACACACACTATGAGGTATAAATAAAATATGATATAACACTAAATGTATGAAAAGAAAAGTCTACACACAAATTTGGAAAGAACACGGGTGTTAATTTAGTCCAGCAGACAAAAGTCCAAAAAAAGTTATACTTGACAACAGTAAAAATATATACATAAGTGTTGTAAAATAACTGTCCATAGCAGCTTAGCAGTAAAAGTTCAATGTAGCATAAGTTGAGAATAGATAATTAAAGTACTTTAATGTTTACTTAAGTACAGTTCTTGAGTAAATTAATTTACATTACACCACTGAGTCATATTGTAGCAATACAAATGAAAGCTATTAATACATCTTCCAAACATGTTGGTTGTTTTATGTTAGAGCTGTACATAACTGCAACGTGTTCATTTAATAAATAAAATCAATAAATGCTATGCTCACAGTTCTTCTAGATCAACCATGAGTTTTCTTTCATACTGATGTAACCATCATGTCATCAGAATATGAACTTGGCTGAAAAGCCTTCTTGGCCAGCTGCACCGACATTTAAACATACATGTTGTCCTCTCCATTGCAGGCTGGTGTCATCCTTGCCTCTCAGAATGACCGACCCGGCTGTGAACAGGGTGGTTAGTGAAATCATTCGCTCTCCGGAAGACAAACGGGTTTACAGGGGCTTGGAGTTTACCAATGGCCTGAAGGCTATGCTCATCAGTGACCCAACCACAGACAAATCCTCAGCTGCTTTGGATGTCCAAATAGGTAAAGGTCTTTCATCTCTACTGTCTTGCCAGGTAGTCATGTATTTCCATGTGAATATCCTTTCCTCACACATTTGTGGAAAGAAATTGGGAAAATATATGTAAATCATAAATTCCTTTTTCCCTGTAGGCTATGAAACTAGTCCACATTATTGTAAAATTCATGGGGGAAAATGTTGTTCGCTATAATAACATTCATAGCGTTACATCAAAGCTGGCTAAACTTTTGTCCTGTCCTATTTGAAGTCACTGTGTAAGTCAAAATACTCCTGTCACCATGAATAAACCTGGCAACACAATATTACCATTTCCAATTGACTGATAAGACTGTTCAGTTGCCCAGGATAAAAAAAAAGTTGTGACTTCCACATAAATGTTGTCTCTCTGACTAAGCAATAAGTACTTTGCATTTACTGCAGATGGAAGAAATGATGATCATGATGATGAAACTGAGTTTTTATGGACAATGACATTCTCCCCATGACTCATGCAGCGATAGTAAAAGTGCAGTTAAATCTTACCAAGCCACCCACAGTAACCTGTGTAATATTATAATATGTCAGATATCTCAGCAAAGGTTACTCCTAATTATTTAACTGATATTTAGATAATATATCTTCAACAAATCATTGCAATTCAATTGCAAAACATATCTTGTTTTTAATATTGTAAATCCTGTACAACCCTTTGAACATGTTGCACTTTTTGGTTCCACACTACCTCTTTTTAATTCTGCACAGCTTTCGTTTGAATATAGTATTTTTCATATGTTAATAATAAAACCGATTCTGATTTCTGTTTGATAAATAAGTGAACGTAATTCTGTCTACAATAATTTAGCCATTGTTATGCCATAACACACAAGGATTATTCCGGCTCTTTGATTTCTTCCTCAGTCTGGCCAACTTATCTATCATTCTGAAAAGTGAAGAAGTTGTAAACTTGAATGAACTGAGAAGTACATATTTTCTTCTTAAATTCGCAGGTTCATTATCAGACCCATCAAACATCTCAGGCCTGGCACACTTCTGTGAGCACATGCTTTTTCTGGGAACAGAGAAGTACCCGAAGGAAAATGAGTACAGCCAGTTCCTCAGCGAGCATGCAGGCAGCTCCAACGCCTTCACCAGCGGAGAGCACACCAACTATTACTTCGACGTGTCCCACGAGCACCTGGAAGGAGCACTAGATAGGTAATGCTCTCCTGTTCATGTTGCCATGTTCCAAAAGTTAATACAGGAAACTTTTTTAAATGTTTATGAGAGAATTTAGTTCTGTGTGTTTTTTTGGGTGTGTTCAGCTTTATTCATTTGTGTGGACTCAACGAGTAAATGCAATCGCCAGGAGTAGAAAGCTAACATTGTGCTATAAAGGAACTGCATCAGTCACATGAGTTGCGTCACCACTGCTAAGCTACATGTGGCTGCTGTTTGCTGCTAAGATGTTTATTAGTCTCTTAGCCACTTGTTAGCAACCACTGTTTTTAGCTTGGACGTTCACCCGAGGAATATTATTTACTGATATATTTGATGTCATGGAACAACCACAGACCTTATCTCAGCCAACTAACCCAAAAATATTTTCAAAAAAACATTGACCTAGAGACAAGGGAACCGGATGCGATAAAACGCTGACTCATTCTGGGTTTTAGGACTCATTCCTACAGCTCTCTAGCAGGACGGTTGTCTCTATCTGCCTACATGCTTGTTTATTTATCAGTAGTATACAATATTTCCCTTGGGATTCCAATTGTTAGCTTAAGTGAGCTGCCAGGTCGTCTTCTGTCCGCCTTTGGTTACCAGACCAAACTTCACTGTGCTTGTTTTGTAACCATTCATTCGTACCCCCCGCTCGGTCTAGAATCCCTAGGCACAGTGTGAGACTGATGTCCTCAGCCTCGCAGGGGTCTCTGCTCACGTGTCAGCTGTGGTGGTGTGGGTGGATTCAGAATTCAACCCGCTGGGATAAGCTTACCTAATTATAAATGAATGATAGTCTAGCAAGCAGCTGTTTATTTGGGATAATTGTTCCCCTGTGCCGCAGCATTGTGAAGACCATCTGGACTGTTGTTGTAGGAAAGGATAGTGCAGGATGTATTGACAAATTGATGATGTTGCAGCTTTGAAAATAGTAGTGTCTAAAATGATGATATATGTTGTTAGCTAGCTCTATAAATCACAATACCCTTATTAGTCCCACAGAGGGGAAATGAACAATGGACCTCAGTAGCTCAGTCTGTAGGGACTGGGTTGAAATCCTGGGCCCACAGTGTGACTGGTACTTGGGCACTGCCGGGCACTGCCGGGCGCTGTATATCAATGAGCAGGAAGGATATATACAGAATGACATCATCATGGCATATACTTGATAATTAGTGAAAAATAGATTCATAAAACAACAAAAAATAAATATATATTTCGCAAGCCTACACCATAACAGAGAATCAGAAGTGCTTAATCGGCTACATTTCATTTTGTTTTTCCGTTTCCATTAAAGGGGACCTATCATGCAAAATGCACTTTTGTACGTCTTTTATACATGAATATGTGTCCCCGGTGTTCCAGGGAACTCACCAAGTCTCAGAAAACACAACCCTCTCTATTTTCCTCCATACCCAAATCTCTAAAAAAGGGGCTGCAACGGATCTGATACAGAATGATCCAGATTTGAACACTTTACTGACGTCAGTCAAGTGGCGCTACAGCTATTGGTAAATTTTCCACCTATCAGGGGAATGAGAGGTTGGTCCACGGCTGGCCATTGAGTGGCGAAGTCACGCCCATCTACTTCCGGTCCATGGGACCTTATTTCGGAAAAATAATGTATTGAAGTCAATGGAGAGAGAAAACTTATCTTTCGATCCCGTTTGAATTGTGCCATGAATTACACATATGATGTTTGTCAATCTTAAAAAATAATTTCCATGTCAAAAAAGTCACAGTTTGTCGTAAAACTGTTGAAATATAAGACTATGGAAAATACGTAACTAGAAAGACTACAAATCCCAGAGTCAGTAAAAGCCCAGATACACCGACCAGTCACCTGAGAAGTCGCCGACACAGACTGTTGCGTCGCCGGACTCTCCTGCGTATTTGCCGACATCGTGCACTGGAACACACCGCAAATCCGAGCCGAGCACGTATGAACTGCACATGCGTGAGTGGCAATAACTCTCCTTACCAGCAGGCGGCGGTAGTGTGTATTCATCATTCAAAAGAGGCAACAACCGGAAGACAGAGAAGAAGAACAGACTCCGTGATATAAAC